ATCTGCTGTGATTGGTTGGGGTGAGAGAAGGAAGACAGGATAAAGACATGCTGTGGAAGAGAGACAGAGGTTAATAACAGATATTAGGCATACTAAACACCGGGGAAACCACCACAGTTCGGTGAGCTTTAATCTGTGTCAGCAGAGGTTCAGCCCTGCATGAAGGAGGGGAAAAAAGATGGTTCAAAAAATGTTACATAATAAGTGGAAGTCACACCCTTAAAGACGAAAGCACACACCCAGCTGTCGCATTTAATGTTCACTTCACTTGATCTCTTTTATTTTTCAAAAGATACACCCAGCTGTTCCACTTTTAACTGATGCACAGGGTTGGGATACTGTGACAGTTTGTTCTTTTAAAAATAATTCTTTAACAAAAGATTGTCTAAGCAGCATCTGCGTCATCACCACCAGCACCATAACAAGTTAATTACTGTCTTATTAATTAACTTGTGTTATTATCTAGTAAATCTGCTCAATGGTTTGAAGACCACAGTGTAGTTGTACAGAGATCACTGCTCAGTGGGTTACTGGGAAGTTGCAACTGTGTGTAACGCTTGTGTGTGTTTAAGAAGGTAAACATGTTATTCTCAGCAAGTTTATTCTGAAACCGTGACACCAGCCAGCTACGGCCTCAAATCAGTGGAATAAACAAGTGAATGAAAGCATGAACTTTGCCATGTTCCTACCACATCTCATGGACTTCAATGTGAGCGTGCAGGATGGCCACCACGTCAGCAGTAGCAGCCCTCCACCCGGATACTCTGGCATGAGCGAGACCTCTCTGCTCACTGTGCCTCACTCTCACAATACGGAGATTAGGGTTCTCCCGCTCAAGCGACTTCATGTACATGTCAAGGTCACCCTTCAGATTTTCTGAATTGTATAAAGAAAAAGATCCTTCGTAGAACTTTTTGTTTGTTTATTTGTTTTTCCAGGGCTTTTGGGTGGGTCATTGACACTATAGTCAGTGAGTCATACTTTGGCACTGCCACAAACAGGCGACTGTGGCGGGGCGTGGTGCACCTGCATGGCATCTACTATCATGCCTTGCCAACTTAGAAGTCTTGGCTCAGTCTGAGTTGTTGTGTTGGTGATGTGTGCGGCTGGCAGCAGGAAAGCTGTGCCGGTCCGTGTGTGTTTAACAGCAACTGTGAAATGAAGCATGCTGAAAAGCATTGAAATGTTACCCGGTCTGCCGTGGTTTATCACAGCAGACCAGAGCGTACACTGTCTCTTGCTGTATGACAGGTGGGAGAGGCTTCAGCCCTCACATGAACCTGAACTGGATAAGCAAACAAAACTGAATGACTAACTGGCTGGGTTGGTGGATCAATTTAAATGAACCAAGCAAGAAAACTAGTGTGACCACAAACATATGTGACATGTCACAGCTTCTGCAAGAAAAGTGTATTTGCAAAACCACTGTTTTAAAGGTTAACTGATTAGAGAGACCAAGTATGATTCAGTGTTTTGTAATTATCTGTTGGTAAATATATTGTGAATGATTAGAAGTGTATTGTGCATCTAACAGATAATCTTCAGTTACCTTTTGATGATTAGCTTGAACTAGTAGACATAAACAGGAAAGGAATGTGATAGGCATGTAGGGGAGACCGGGGACAGTTGTAACATTTCTGACATTTCTGTCTGTATCTTGGAGATCTTTTAAGGTAGTGGATTCAAAATACAATGCAAAGTATTGCAAGCAAATCTTGCACTAACATTTGAATAATGAAGCTGAAAAAAATGTAGCTTTGGACCAACTTCATCAACTGATCTGCATGTGTTTTTGTCAAGTTTTTAATCACCATCAGAATCACAGTGGTGACAGATGTATGGCATTCCTGGAGTGCAGGCCTCATGAGCCCACAGAGTACAGGCCAGGCATTTAACCCAAGCTTCTTCTGGCTTTGAGTTATCAATGCACACAATACAGAAATTCTCAACAGCATCTGAGGAATCTGTGTTGTCCTGTTCAGTGTTATTCATTTTTAGATTTTTCTTTCGTGATGTGGAAAGCTTGGATTGTTTTCAATTTGTGGGAGTGGATTTGCCTTGTTTCTGGCACAGCCTCTTCTTTGGGAAACTTATTTTCCTCCTTCTCTGGTCTGCTTCAAGAGCCATCTTAACTGGTGTATCGGTGAGTATTGCTGTTTTTTTCCTTTTTCTTCCTGTTAAAGGGGTTTTTCTAGATCCAGCTTTTGGTAAGGGTCGCACATCTTTTGGGTTAAAGCCCAAGTTCTGTGGGTTTTCATCACAGCCTGATGAGGGAGCAGCTTGGAGGTCAGTTAGAAGACTGGAGATGTGAGCATCTGGAGGAGTGGTCATGTCGTCAGCTGTAGGACTGGTAAGATGAGCAGCAAGAAGAGCGGACTGTTGGTCAGCTGGAGAAATGTCCATATGGACTGTTGGAGAACGACAATCTGTGACCTGTGATGGAGCAAAGTCACTTTCCTCAAATATGTTTGGATTGTATGGCCAAATTCCACAGCACTGGAATTCAGCCTGTATATTCTTTGGCGTAGCTGCTGCTGGAAGTGCCATCCTGACGAGACCTTCACATATTGTCATGGTCTTTCCTGGATTCATTCTCATCCAGGAATCACTTGCACTGTTCTCCATCTTTTTCAGTGGGCCATAAACACTCCTGTCGAGTGGTTGGAGTTTGTGACGGCAGTGAGGGGGAAATGTGAGCATCATTGCAGCCATTGCTCAAGTCAATGGCTGCAATTGACAGGTGTGAACTGTGGTTATCCATGAGAGGAATCACTTTTTCATGGCTGACCTTGGTGTGGTTTGCAAAGTGCTTCAGAAAGATGAGGAACTCTTCTTCTTGCATCCATCCTGATTGATTTCCACTGCCAATACTTGCTACTGGCCCATCTCTGACAAAGTGGTCTGCATAACGTATGCGTGGGAAACATCGGAGGAATTGTGTTGCCAGTGGCATTGACTGCACATACAAGGGTGACCAGTGAACCTCTCTCTGTTGATGTCATTGCCCCAAATTGTTTAGTGCCACGTTTTGCAATCACTCTGTCCGGGGTTTGCACAGCTGTTATGCCAGTCTCATCAATATTCCATATGTCATTTGCTGTTAAGTTGTGTCTCTTTAGAAATTCATCAAATTTTTTGAAAAACATTGCTACATTGTGTTTATTAAAACTGATGGCCCGTGCCAGACGTGTAGCCTCTGCACTTCTAATGGACAAAGTTGGGTTTAGTTTCATGTAGGCTGAGAACCAGTCTGGTCCAGCCCTTGAGAATGTGTCCCATCACTTAGGATATTTGCGTCCATGTTTCACTGATATGCCAGTTCTTTTACCTGTAATTTTAATCACGAAATATGTTAGTATTTCTGATATACTATATTTTAAATTGCCACCATTACAAATTTCTAACTTTCCCTTGTCTTATCCTTTATCACTTCCTATCTGCTTACCTCACGTGGACATAGTTCATAAAATGCATTTGCAGCTCTCATCAGGTATTCTGTTGATTTTTTCTCTTGTTCATCAGTGAAGACCTTCTTTCTCCTACACATGGGAGTTCCCTTGATCCCTGCTCCTCCAGCTTCTTCCTCTCTTTACAAAACCGGTACAAAGTGACATGGCAAATGCCATACAATTTTACCAAAGATCTATTGGACTTGCCCTGATTTCTAACATCATTTCATTTCTTTCTTTATTTCACACATGGTTCAACAGTGTTTCTTTTCCTACATACAGATCCTCCTTCCCATTAATATAACACTGCACCCATGGGTGAAAAGGAGCAGGAAGAAGAATAAATTCTTGTTATCACCTA